TCAAGTGTACCATGTTGAAATCACCTAGAGTCGTTATTATGGACTTTTACATTTCTACCCAAGGAATGGCTGGGTTTCAAAGCTTGATCAACCACAGTCTTTTACATTGAACTGCAATTAAACAAAGCAGAGTACCAGTTAAAGCCAAAGAACACGAGTACTCAGCACATATATGTTTTGATACAGTACAGTATGTATGTGTATATATATACGCATAAATATGTATATGTTACATTATAAGGAGAATGCCATTCAGGACTTCTCAACTGCAAGAATCCTTTTACCACCTGCAAATCCTGAAACTTCAGCCCATTAAATTTCACACCAAGGTAATGAGAACTCCAATATTTTCCAGATTGAATTACTATTTCTATTTTAGCCAATTAGCCAAGCAGTGCCAGCTGAAAAAACAGGAGCTTTAATTTTAATAACACCAGTTCTGCCACCTTAGGCAGGTGGCACAAATTTCTATCACCAGATTATTTGCCCCTTCCCTGCCCTGCAGTTGTGTATCATGGGCATTTCTACAAGCTCTCAGACCATCACCAGTCGTACTAACTGATCTCTATCAATTTACTCAGTTGCCAGAGAAAATGTTGCAATTTATGAAATAATTTCAAACAGCCAGTACAGTTCTGACAAGAGCTTAGCAGTACTGGCTAGAGTCATATTGGTTTTAATCATGTAATGGTTCTGCCTTTTCATCCCTAGCAAGCCCACTTCTACTCATCGTGGCTGTCACCATACACACAACCTAAGAGCTGAACAGTTTGGGATACCATACTATTCATTGTAATCCTAAAACCCAGAGCTTAAAGGTCTGCTGTACAAATTTCTCATATTGAGCTGAAAAAGTCTCATTTAAATCACTTTGAGCAGGTTTCATTTGTTACTTTTTAAAAAAGAAATAGGAGCAACAACAACAAAAAAAGGCAATTAAAAAAATGTAACAGGCACTTAAGAGCAAAGTAAATGCAAAATCCCTTTGGATATTTAGATGAGGGGGAGCTACTCATCTCCCTTGCCTTTAGCCTATCTAGAATTTAGACATCTATCCCAGACTAATCATTCGTGCTTCCTCCAGTCTCAAGGAGACAGAAGCTTCCTTCTGGAGGCTGTCACATGCTCAAACAGGGCAAATGAGTCTCTCCAGGGGTGGCAGACCCTCTGTAACCACAGGGAGAGTCTGAGCAGTTAGCTAGATTACCTGCTACTTACACAGGTGAGACAAGTCTCTCTCTCTCACTCTTCACATAAGCCAGTAACATAAATCCTGAAGGCTTTTCTTGGTTCCTGCAAGGACAAACTCACCAACATCAACAGGGCAAGGGTTTGCTTTTGTGTTTTTGGGAGGCAGAGGGGAAGGTTGGTCAGCAGTCCAATCTCACACCAGCATTGCTCTGACCACTTGCACTAGCTGCTCAGCCACAATGGTTCACGGCCAGTTGCCCACGTACAACCACCCCTTGGTTATGCAGCATCAGGCAACAAGGGCAAAGGGTGCAACATGTTTTCCTAACACCCAGAGATGCATCTCAGTCTACACCTTCCTCAAGGGGGGCAGTGGAGGGGGAGGTGCTGATCTCCTCTCTCTGGTGGCCAGCGATAGGACACGAGGAAACAGAATGAAGCTGGGTCAGGGCAAGTTCAGACTGGACGTTAGGAAAAGGTTCTTCACGGAGAGGGTGGTTGGTCACTGGAACAGGCTCCCCAGGGAAGTGATCACAGCACCAAGCCTGTCAGAGTTCAAGGAGCGTCTGGACGACACTCTTAGCCATATGGTTTAGTTTTAGGTAGACCTGCGAGGAGCAGGGAGTTGGACTCAGTGATCCTTATGGGTCCCTTCCAACTCAAGATATTCTATGATTCTAAGTTGAAGTAACTCAACATTCTCCTAGACACCAAACTAGCTGTGCTGCGTCTTCACGGGCGTGCATGTTACTGAGCACAACCCTCCAAATTTCTGCTGGGACTAGAGAGGTTCAACAAGGACTAGAACTACTCTGTCAGGTAAGTGTAGGCCTTACACACACATTGAAGTTATACAGCTTTACAAACAGGCTAACATAGATACAACAGTAAAGCCCACCTAGTAGGACAATGTTTATAATCTATGTGATTGTTTACTCTGGTATATCTTCTTACAGCATGGAAAGGAGAACCAGATATATCGTCAAATTCACTCTCATATCAGTATACAATTATTTTATTTTTAAAAAATCTAAATATAACATGGCCCTAATGGAGAGTTATTTCTGTTCAAAATTAATCAAGCAAATGCTACTGAAACACTATGAGGAGTTTTGCATATAATTCCTTATGGGCAAGATTTGTTTTTTAAATAATCTAAACAAGTTTTTGTTGTGTTTTTTTTTTTTTTAAATAAGCAAACAGTTCTCTCCCTAACTCTGGGAGCACAGCTACCTCTATCCTTTCTTCACACTGCTGTGTTTCAGTATTGCTGTGTCCCCTGAATTACAGAGCTATCACATGTAAGTGGATATGGTACAGGCTATACTCCTAGCAACGCCAAGGTGTTTTTTAAACCTTTCTCACCAGGTCAGATTAGCCTCTCTGAGTTGCATGCCAACAACAGCCACACCAGATATTAAGCCAGCATTACAAAACAGGATGGAAAAGTACAGCCAACATACATCTTCTAACGTATTTTCCACAAAATAAACCAAACAGCTCCTGATACGCAGGGGCATGTTGGTCCCACCTACTCAAACACAGCTGGAATCTATTCCCTGTTTTGGAAGGCAGCTGTAACTGTGTGGCCACAACCTGGATGCCTCAGTGCCCAGGGCTGGGGGCTCCCCAGCTGCCACCCTCCAGGCGCACAGCAGTGCAGAGCAGGCTGCAGAGTCAGGGAGGCAACACAGGTGCCAAGGCAGGGTTGAGCTTGACATGGCCTCACCTTCCTCTCAAAAAGATGGTGTTTCCCATCCTCCACAAAGGCATATCTTCCCCTAAAGCTCCCCCCAGCTTCTCTGTCTGACCTCCCACACACCAGGAGACCATATACAACTTCACCTACACAACCTGGTCCTCAACCAAGAAGCCTCAAGCTCCTTCACTTCAGGGGGAGGAACCACCATGTTCCAAAGCCTGGGCATCCTTTTTGGAGAAACGCTACAATTCATGGAGCATCTAGGACAGCCAGTTGAGCAAGATCGTGCCTAAGTAGGCAATGTTACTCAATTAGCTGAGTTGGCTGAAGGTTTTCCCATTGTAACACAATTTTTCTATTCCAGTATTATTTTTGGTGTAAAAAAAAAAAAATCAGTGGGGATGGGTGGGTTTTTTGCGCAAAACTTGATGCTTTTAATGAAAAAAAGGTTGCTTTTCTCAATATTTTGCTGTTTATTTCTGCTGGGAAAACTTGAAACACATAATTTTTGTCAGAAAAATATCAGTCCGTGTCTGTCCGAATTCCTCCAGTGTCAGCCGGGAGCTGTAATTCACAGGCTCCATGTCCCCCTCTTTCCCAGAAGGCTGGGCTCCTGGGCATCCCTCCAGCCTTCATGACGCATTCCCCCTTTGACTAACCCATGGTAAGAGCATCATGGGATCTGTAACCCAGCCAAAGAGCTGGGCCCCAAGGGAGACACGGCGCACAAGGCACTTGAATGGTAATTTCTGAGGTCTGCAACAGTAGCTCAAACTGATGCTGCTTTAAGGGCCAAATGGATTTAATAAAATGTTTCCATTTCAAAAGGCTAGAACATTTTATTCAGCATTTTCCAGCTGACAGTTTCTCATTTTTTGAAAAACTTCCATTCCAGGAAAATTTTTGGTATTTCAGCTTTCCATCTCAATTCAGGATGAAATTAAATGTTCAAGTATCAGAATTTGATGCTATATGGACATTCTGTTTGGGAAACAGCCTTATTAATTAGCTGCCAAAAGTGAAATGACTCCATCCATGCAAGAAGGGTGTGATCCAGTTTGCCTTTGACATCAGTGGAAGCCGCTTTTTCAGCTTAGTGGAGCCTGGATGGCGTCCCAAAAGACCAAGGGAGGGTGGAGTTGACCATAGTTGCAGATATTGGAAACAGGACTCAAGAGTGAAATAGCAAGAATATAAGAGGCAGCAACTAAGATGATCCGTTACCTGGACTCAATCAAAACTCAGTTTTACTTACTTTAGTGAGTAACAGGAGGAAAAATCATTAAGATCATAAAAGATCATAACGATAGCAGTTAATCAACGCTTTGTAGAGTAGAATAAATCCATAGTATGAAAGTTATAGAGCTCATGACATTCAATGTTCAAAACATTTCCTCAGAAAACCTTCACATACTTCATTCAAGGAGACTACCCTAAAGCTAAAGATGGTACTGAACTGCTTGCCTCAGGATGCGTGTCCTCCCTTGAACCCTGCAAAATTGTTCTGTTGGATTGGTATTACAGAAGCTCTGTCAGGACGGATTGAGGTCTCTGGACTTTGAGCACATCTACAGGTGGAAAGCAGCTAAGTGCAGGCTTCCAGGATTGACACTGGGTGAGGACTGGGCACCAAAATCCATCCTCTACATTGCCCAATCTGTTTCTAGATTTAGCCCCAAGCCTTCCACCTCAAAGAGTAAAAGAGCAGCCCCAGGGAGTCTATGTCCATCAGCAACAGGGTGTGTGTTAAGAGAGCACTCAGAACACTAAATAAATCAATTCACCCAACCATGAGGGGTCTAGAGAATTGGGTTTTGTTTATCTTTCATTTCCCTGTAGTACAAGGCAGATGTTTCTAAGTAATAAGCAGAAACCTTGATAATTTTTAAGACTGAAGAGGAAGGGAGGGAGGAAGAAACATGTACAAGCTTTGAGGATGTTCTCAGCTCCAGCTTCAAAAAACCAAAACCACACACCACCAAAAATGTATATCTGTAAAAGCAAGTTTTTCCTTAAGCTGTTTGGTAATTCTTAGTTCATAGGAGCATTTTATCCAGAAGGTTCTTCATGTTTCCAGTCTAGGTTGTAGCAATCTCAGTGAGGCACTAAATTTTAGGCTGTTAAAGTCTTTCTGTGCAGCACGGTCATTTTAAAATGATGTGGTAGCCATCATTGCTTTCAGCTGTAACAAAGAAATGCAAAGCATTTTTTCATTGCTATTAGAAAACAGCACAGATACAGAACTCCAGATTTTCTTCTTAGGTAATTTGCAATAGTTTGTACTCTTGTTCCACAACCCATTCATGAAAATCAATGTTGAACATCTAGGTCAAAGCATTCATATAAAAAAAATATAACATACTAACTGTCATCTTTTATCATTTTACTAGAAGATTTTCTGCTCATTTATGTCAGTGCTATCAATGGATTTATGAAAGTTTTATAACAGTGTAACTGAAAGGAAAGCATAGATCAACCAGTCTATCATAGTGTAAGTTGATGCAACACCCTGACTTACACTAAATTAGATTACTTATTGTTTCAGGATAACAGCACCGAATTTGTGATAACATTTAGTGCAATTGAAAAGAGAAATTATCTTTAGAACTACATGTAATAGTGGCAGCAATACATACCTTTTAATGTGCTGATAACAAAACAAGATTCATCTTGGAAGTTTTGCACCATCTGAAGGGCAGAAGGAAAAAAGCCAACACAAAATATTTTTAGCAATTTCATTCAAGTGTCTTTCAGTGCCAGAATAGAATTTAGAGGAGAGTTATCAAACAACATTTGGTGTCCAGTCCTACACAGTCCTGAGTAACCCTGCCCGTAAGATTATTAAAGTACATGACTGATTAATTAAGGTCCTTGCAGCTGCTAATGTGTTTAAGGGAAGCTTATACTAAAGTGCTTGCCTGGAACTGATCGGGCTTGTTCAGCATTTTACCATCCCCTTTGCAGCTCTTGACCCTGCAAGTTCTCATACCACTCCAGTTAGTCTATTACAGACAATGCTCTTAATTGCCTTCAATGAAGCTCTACTAGTTTAGACTGGATGAAGACAGTCCTCTCCTAAAATCTAGCATCGGTAACACACACACACACACACACACACACATTCAGCTGAACCATGAAGCTTTGTTGAGCTTACATGAGCATCTGGGAAAATATCTAGAGGTGGTCAGCCCTGAGAAATGGACTCTTTGCTGAATAAAGGAATATTGTTACTATAAAGCCATCTCAGCAGTGTCCACCTGGCTATTTTGACCAGACGTTAGTATAGATGCTGTGCTTGCAGGAATCATTTACCTGCTTGGATTTTGTCAAGGCACAGGAATCTTAATGAAACTGCTATGAGAGGCAAGGCAGATCGTGGGAAGCAAGATCAGTATCTAAAGCTATTTGAGTTATTCATGAGAAACAACTAGATTTTCAGAACACATGCAGGTTCTAGTGAGGCCCCTAACTAAAGTAGTGAGTTAAGAGATTCAGCTGACTTCAGATCCAATTCGAAATGCTCATTTAAGCTTCATCCTTAGTCAATGCTTCCTCCCGTCTCAGAGTAGCTGTGTAGGACAGAGGAGGTGAATTACCTTCAAGAGGTGTCTCATACAGTTGGAGCAGATGCTGGACACCTAACTTCAGAGGGGAGGTGACCAGAACCTCTCTGATCAGCTCAGAAAATCCAGCTTTAAGCAAAAGCCTTCTCCTAGCTATTGAATATCATTCAAGTAGAGCACTTTCCAGCTGTAAGTTCTCACACCAAATATCCTTTTCATCTTAGACTAATCTCCCTATTCTCTTTTGGGTTTAACATCCACCTCCTGCTCTTGCAAATCAAACTTCACTGGCCAGTCCGTGTGTCTGTGCCTAATGATGCATGAAGTACATTCATAGAGTGCCTCACTCTTGCCACTATAGTATTAGGACAAGAAAAAAAATATTAAAAAAGCAATAGACATTGTTAATAATTGACTTAAACACTTAAAGCCTTATACCCAAGCTGGTTCAGGCAATTCCCCTACCAAGAGTTGCCTCCAAGCACTTTACATCCACAAAGCATCAAGGTTTCAGATTTAATCAGGCTGAAATAGCAAGGAGAGTTTAGGAATAAGCATTACAGCCTTCAATTTAAGCTCCAGTAGAGACCTATGTTATGCTTCATTTGTTTTAACAATGTTTCTTATAAACGAAGCTCCTTAAATGATTCTGGTGCATGAATGAGTAAGTAATTTAGTGGGGGGAAAAGAGGAAGAAGGGCAACTCACTATTAACCTGCAAGTTAATGGAATGGACTAAATTAAGCCATCGCATAATGGGACACAAACAGCTAGCAGAGGTCCATGAAATTATAGTGTGCACTTACAGCACTGACTCTGACCCAGTGGCTGTAATCACTGGCCAAGATCTAAGACTAATTGCCCTAAAGATTTTCAAACTTTTCTTCTTTAGGAAACTTTCCTATTAAATTCTAAAGGTTCTCACTTTAGATCCTTTTTTCAGAATTTGTTTAAGTAGCCAATATGAAAAGGAAGTGACCAATTTTGTTGTGTTTTGTTTTCAAGAAAGCCCCTTTTTTACAAAGTAAAGACCTTAAAACCACACCAAAATCAATGGTATGCATGAATAATTTGCTCTAAGTATTTGCTTTAACTTGTTGGGATTAGTAACCTTGCAAAGCTTCCCTGAAGATTCATTCCATAATTTAAAAGGTCATTCTAACTTAAAGAAGTCAGACAACTGTTACAGCTCTGAGAGTCTGCATTAAACCCTTACCTCATTGCTCACTAATACATGGATCCCTGTGGGTCCCTGCCGATAGATTCGATTTATCTGTTGTGGAGAAATGCTGTACAAGTTTGCAATCTTCTCGATTAATTCCAGTGTGGTCAGTTCTTCCAAGAAGATTGCATGATATACTGCAACAAGTTGAAAGCAATTACAGAATTACAGAGCAATTATAGTATAGCAAGTACAGATAACACCAAGATGCTCAATATCAACAACCAAATGGGTTTAAGATCAAGGTTCAAATCTTGACAGTAGATGAACAAACTTAGTACCTTCAAAGCAGCCCCCAAATATCCAGCTTGATGATTTGTAGAAAAATACCCAGTATTTGGATGCAGTGGGCAAATAAAGCACACGCCACTTTTGCCCAGAGGAAAACACAGGGACTAATGACAACATGTATCATGAGGCACTAAAAAAACCCTCATAAAGATGTTAATATTTCTGGATAATCTACTTTTACTGATTTTGACATTTTAAAGTAGATCCAATTAAATAGTAAAACACATGATATGATGTTACACAAAAGTAGTATTTTATTAGATATTATCCCACTGACCCCATAGGCACAAACTAAAGACTACAATTTATCAAATAACTGTAGATGACTTATTTTTTAAATCCAATCTAAATGGTAGAAACAACCAGGTAGAAGAGCTGTGCCTGGTTAATGCTACGCACAAGAACTGAGGACAATCTCTGTTCTCATTTATTGTACATCTTGTCATGAGGGATATTTAAGAGCCATGAGTCCCCAAAAGCTTCAAACTTCCAGGAATTAGAACCTCACTCTAAGACATACCAACCTTCCATTTCCCAGAATATTTTCAAACAAGTCATAGTCTAAAGCAAATTGTGGATGGGAGGGTAGTTTTTAATGCTATGGTCCCTATTAAGAACTAAATAGAGACTAGAGACTTTGCTGTGGCATTCTGCAGATAGCTTGTAAGTTGGGTCTGTTTCCCAGGCAGACACTACCAGTTGGAATCTGTAGCCCTGAAACTAACCAAAGTGTCACAACTGGGATAAACAGGACCTCTTTAAACACGCAGGACACCAAGCTGTCCCACGCAGGAGCTCAGGCAGAAAGCAGCATTCTCACCAGATAAGTGTTTAACAAAAATCCATACATAAAAACTTACCACAAAGACTGCCATCTCCATTTTCTCGTTTTTGGTGAAGATGGGACCTGTTCTGCTCTGGTTCTTGACAGACATAAATTGTCATCTTGGGCCTTACATTTCTATGGATTATTAAAAAACAGTAGTGAGTTATTTAGTAGATCTAAAATCATTCCAGTCAGCTAGCAAACACTGAGTGATGGAATCACTCAGGCTGTGCATAAATAATCAGCTAAGGGATAGTCTTGATGCTGGTGACTAGATGTCTTAGGAGGTCTAGTAAGAGCCCCCTGGGAGGTGGTGGTACAGTGCAGAGCACCTTAATCTCTTCGGGATCAGATAAGAATAAACAGTTTTCAGCACTTGCCAAGCAGCTCATCATACCTGCCTTTACTGATTTGAATCCTGCCCAGCTGGAGAATTTATGTTATTGCCATTAAGTAAGTTTAAGAGTCATTTGAGGCTCCAGGGGTTGGTTGGTTGGTTTGTTGTTTGTTACCTGTGATGGAGATGCAACACAAGGTATTGTAGGCTGTGTCTCATATGAAGTGGATGGAAGCTATCAGCTGGTAGCAAATAAACCACTGGAGATCCACATTATGATGCTTCATTTCGGCAACATTTCTGAGCTGTACTTGGATTTGAATACCATTGTGATCTCCAGCCTCTGATATGACCTCTCTGAAGTGTTAAAAGGAGGTCTAAATGCTACAGCTCCAGGATTAACTTCTAGTTAACACTGAAATTATCAAGGGATGCTGCCATAACAAAAAAATAGGAAGGAAGACGTACAAACCTTCCTTTGATTGCATTAAAGAGCCGAATTCCATCAGCAGGCCCACAGATTTGAACAAAATCTTCTTTGGACATCTTCAGTAAGTCAGCACCTACATATTTCAAATTGATTTTTTTTCAGAAGTTAAGCAAATCTTAGCTTCCAAATTGAGTGTATGGGCAGCAGGAAAGGGCAGGGGGAGAGAATCCACAAAGCTAAACCAGACAGATTTGCCTAGAGAAGTTACAAATTCAGAGAGGTGTACACTGCAAATCAATCATTGTGAAACAGAGAGCTAGAAGTTGCCAAAAGAGCAGTGCTGCACTGGAAGATATTCTAGCCAACTCAGAGACAAGCTAGTTATTTAACACTGGCCATTAAATGGCCCAATTTTCTCTAACTGCCATATTCACCAGGTTGTTTAATCCTGTTGCAAGTCAGAGAGAGTCTCCTCAAGGTTTAAACATCTTTAACAATTCCCCCTTCCACCACCTTACTGCTGTGTACAACTACCTAATGGGAGGGTACAGTGAAGATGGAGCTGCAGATGGAGCCAGACCCTTCTCAAAGGTGCACAGGGACAGGATGAGAGGCAGCAGACAGAAGATGGGAAACACTGATTAGGTATAAGGAAAAACTTTTTCACTGTTAGAGTAGTCAACTATTTGAAGAGGTTGCTTAGAGAGATTGTAGAATTTCCAACCTTTGAGATACTCAAACGCAACTGCACAACGCCCTGGACTTGCTTCAAGCAGGGGGGTTGCACCTAATGAATTCAAGAAGTCCCTTCCATCTCAACTTATTCTCTTCCATCTTAACTTATTCTATATTTCTACAAACTGTTTTGGCAAATGCTAACTAATCTAGAACAAAATAACAACCACACTGGATCAGACCAGTGATCTCATCAACAGTGGCCAGCAGCAGATGCTATTAATATGAAGCATGAGCTGCACTTACAAAAGAGAATAAAGAGAAAATAATTGGACTGTTTAAACTCACCCGAAAAACTTGAGAAGAGTCTACAGAATGGAGAGAACCTATTACGATGAAGCCACTGCTGGGCATCTTGAATAGAAGCAGAAGGAAGGAGATGCTACATTGCAAAAAGAATAAGAAGGTCTTGAAATGAACTGTTCACCAGTGTCCTAAAAAAGAAAAGCACCACATTAACATGATCTCAAGTACTTACATCATTGCTGGGAGGCAGGAGCTCCACTTGGTGGGTTGGAGAACTGTTGCTAAAAAAAATTATATAAAGTTGGAAGAGAAAAAAAACATTATTTTAAATTTTACATTGCATTGTCCATCCTCTTCCCCCTCCTCAATTTGACTCAACTGTCTCAAGTTACATACCAACTTGGCTTTTTTCTCTATCAGATTTAAGAAAAAGGGTGTCCAAAATCTGGACCAAGAAAATAAAAAAAAAAAAAACCACACAAAAAAACCTCTACTTGAGCCTTTTGCTGGTCAGTTGAGGTCCTACTCAACACGGAAAAACTCAGTTCTGACCTCATTCAAGCTTCTCCATACAGGCAGCTCACTAATGTGATGCCATGTAAGCAAGGAAGTTGTGACCTACTAGTGTGGCTGAACCGAAACATTCTACGAGCGAGAGTTCCCTGAACTAAATCCACTCTCTAATAACGATTCTCAGCAAAAATTTAATAGAGAACCTTGTAATTCAAACCTGGTGTTATTTTAAACTTAATAAATAGCAATTTAACTATATTAGACAAACCCACATTTCTACTAAACCCTCCCAGAACATAGACAGGACTTTAACACATAAAGGATTTTTCCCAAAGAGTTAATAATCTACCACTGGAAGAAAATGCTCAACAAATCTCTCTACTAACACCAATTTTTGTCATTTCAGTGTTTGTCCTTATTCATACGTTGAGGTTGCTCATTGAAAATTTGTGATACAACATCGATTAATTAATGAGCTGTGCGGGAAGGTGACAAGGCTGTAGAGTCCTAGAGGAGGAAAAGAAAGGCCTATGTCAAATTCCTAGGGGAAATATGTTGCAGGGAGGACTCAGAAGTACCGAGGGACCGTGCTGTGTATTTCTGTCATCAGCTATCATCTTGGGTGTTTCAGGACCACTAAAACTGCTTCTTTATGACAGCTATATTAATGAATTAAACATGCCTCCTGTTAATCCTTTGTTCTGGAATGGCTTCTCAAACCAGGCTGTTTTTCTCCAGAGAGAATTTCTTTAAATTCCATTCAACTGGGAATTCAGCACCCCAAACTGCCTCAAGACAGAAAGGAAGGAAGAAATATCAACTCTGAAGAGGTGCTGAAGGCTGAAAGCCTCTAACACTCTTGTCAGAAGATACTGGGAATTGCTGGTACAGGACATGGTGTGTTCTCTGACCCCTACAGAAGAGTAAGAGAGGAAATTCATGGCAGAAATTACCCTGGTGGTCCTCTGATGCTCACCTCCCATAAGCAGTACAAATAGTACTCTGCATTACAGGGAATTCCTGGCTGGAAGATCTTAAAAGTCTTTGTGGGAAATATTTTCCCCTTTCTAGGAAGGGTGGTCCTTGACCTCTTCTTCCAGGGTATGAAATGCATGGACCCACAAAACACATGCACACAAAGGCTACCACATCAACAGGAAAGATAAAGCATTTATTTGTTACATACCCATCTCCAAGGTTGAAGCTGTTGGGAGAACTGTTGTAGCTTGGAGATGGAGCATTGTTCATTTGATAAGGCACATCTGGCCAGGGAGAGCACTGTTGGAAGAAAGGCAGCGGGGATACTTTCATAAGGATGGAAATAAAGGATTCGATTCTCCTCTCATACCACGTTCATGCTGTTGCCACGCCACTAACTTCAGCTCATCACTCCTGCTGGGAGGAGGAGACGGGCCATGGATTTTCTACGCCGCTCTCCAAGCGGGCTGTCAGGGGGCCAGATTGATTCCAGTTGTGCATTCCACATTTCTCCCATTTCACAAAGCCTGTCCCCAAATAACACTGGGCCAAAGTGTGCACAGCTGTAAGTCAGAGCAACGCCAGTAAGTCAACTCGGACTGAAGGCAGCAACGATACAGAAATACCCCTGGTCTCAATTATAAATCCCTAATTAAATCCAGGCAAGAGTGACAAATACGCTCCAGTGGCATTGCTTCAGGTTTATACCAGTGAAAGAGCAGAATTTGAACCAGCCTGTTAAAACCTCTGGCTATTAGTCAAAGAGCTAGAGTTATAAATGGGTATTACAGGGAGAAAATTTAAGATAGACAGACACAAAGCTACTAAAAGTCTTCACAAATAGAGGTCAAACTCCATATTCCATTACAGTAGTGTAAAACCAGAGTAACACAGCTAGAATTGGTGACTCTGTCCTGAATTTAAGCCACTTAATCAGCAGGAGAAATCTAGCCCTGTAGAACCCCCCTCCATCAAGAGCTCAAGAAAATGCTCTGTAGTATCCTTGTTTGCAATGATAAAAAGAAGACAAGCATAGCTTTGGAGTTTTATCATCTCCACAAATACTAGCAAATATTTTATCATCTCCACCAGCACTAGGCAAATATTTAACTCTTTGGCAACCCACATTTCCCCATGCAATATGTCAAAGTGCATCAGAGCTCATAGGAAGAGTTTGGGATCTGCCAACTCAGTAGAATTAGGTCTGTGTACACAAGAGCCTTGTTAACAACCACCGCATTGAATTAGAAAACATGTTGGTCACTCCTGGCAACTTGAGGAAAATGGAGTGGGAGGGACTGGATCTCACAAACAGGAAGTTTATTTAAATTAAGAAAACCCCCTCATTTTTAGAAGTCCAGCAAGCCACTTCAAAAAACCAAGAACTAAATCAAACAACAAAATATTCCCATAGGGAGACAGAACAGCACTTTTAAACCACTGTCTTGGGTCCTCTTGCTTAGTAATTCTGCAGCCTGGGGTAAGCTTATATATACAGCTTAGTAATGGCAGGGAGGGGTAGAAACACATACATCTCTACACCAGATGCATCAGAATGTAAGACATTCAAGATATTCCTAGAGTACAAGGCAGAATCTTCTGAGATCTAGTATGTAATAGTAGCCTCATAGGCACATTCACAGAAAAACAGATTAATAATTTAATCAGACAGCCTATTCATCTGTTCAAGTGCTCCATCTCTAACATGAGCTTTTGCCAGACAGTTCTGAAGGAAATACCTCATGACAAGTGCCCGGGAGCATGGCAGAAGATAGAGAAAATGCTTCTTTTAAAGCTAGGCTGTTAAGCGTTGGTTTATACCCTGAAACATAAGAAACTTTGGCATCTTTTATAAACTTCAACAGTGAGAGACATTTTATAATTTCACTCAGGTCTCAATTTCAGTCAGATCTGGGCATACGTGTCTCCACAAGACAATCTCCAAGGCTCAGTTAGGCTGCATTTTCTCTCAAATCTACCTCCCAACATGCTGAAGTAGTACGACACATGTCTAAAATGCTTTACCTCTGTGAGAATAGTTGTCTCATAAGAAGGCTGATACTTCTCCTTCTCTTGGGTGGTCTTCTTCTCCATTTTTTCCCTGTCAGTCTTCTGTTTTCTGTCTGCTCCTTTAGGCTATAAGCACAAGCACAAGCTTTCCCTTATGCCAAGTATTACAAGTTTGGAGACAGAGGCCAACAGATGTTTTTTTTCTTAATCTGTTCACAAAAGTCTCATTAAGATTTATGGGGACTCTACATATGGAACAAGATCAGATCTGCATTTTCTAGACAAAAAGATTAGTCAAGCATCTCTACTGTGTCTATAACATCCCTCATTAATGCGTATTGCAATGCCAAAATAGGCTGACCACAGTCCTGAGATTTGATACCAACTGTTTCAGACCATGAGCCCGATGAGTTATGCACTTTGACTGGTATTTGTACGATCTCTCCAGGAACAGGAAAGACACTGCTCATAGGAGCAAGACTGGAGCAGCAGATCCTTTGAGAAAACAGGCCTATGAAAAGCTTGTTGTCAAGCGACTACAGGTCTGCCATGCCCAAATTAGGAGCTTCAGAGATGAACAGAATCATCTTTCTGTCCTCCAGGTAGCATGGAGAGGAACTCTGCTGCAACCAGCAAAGGGTATCTAAGATCTCCAAGTTATAGTCTCGCTGTTCATGGAGGATTGAATCAAAGAAACTGGAGATGCCCATATTGTCTTGATTGCCAAGGAGCACCTAATGGATACCCTGAATATCATAAGTGTAATATGTTGATTCAAAAAGACTTAAACCTCAATAGGTTTAAGTGTATTGAGACCTAAGCCTCAATATTCCTGAGAAACTGGACCATATTTTGTATAGTTTGCAATACACATCATCTTCAGGACACAAACTAATGAAGGGCAATGCCCTCTAGAGACTACTTGCCTATATTCCACAGAAATTTATTTTGTGCACTGATGCCTCTCCAATGGGTTTTCATTCCAACCAGTCGAGGTTTGAGTTGTTGTTGGGGCTATTAGTGTTATTATTACATCCACACAGCACAGATGTCAGTATTTATAGTGTTCAAGGCACAATGGACTGGCATAAGTCTTGGTGCGGCACTTGGGTCATTTGAATTTAACTAGAATTGCTGTGTAGCAGCTCAGGGCTTATGTCACTTCGTGTGCAAGAGTCCTGTTTAAGATCTTAAGCATACCCAGTTAAAAGTCTGTTCTTCTACCCCACTATTTGCATCACACCTACACAATTAAAAAAAATTTCGCATGTTCCTATATCTTTGTCTAATCCAGTTGATGACAAAGCTAAAACTACCTCATACCTTGAACACTTTGATCTGGCAGCTTGCAGAATGTAAGTGTTCTGTGTATTCACCATTTTCATTCTGCTTAAAGGTGTCGATTTGAACCCGGAAGGGCACCCCTTTCTCTCCTCCATGTTTCCGTGGAGTAAATTCTGTGCTGATGCAATGTACCTGGCAAAACAAAAACTGTGCTCATCTCTGGAGACAGTTGAAAGCTGTGCAAATCTGAATTTCAGGCTCCCTGAACTTACAGGGTGCCTGAACATGAGGTTTTGGCTCCTCCTGAGAAACTAAGAGAGGCAGAAGAGTTCAAAATGTTTTCATCTCTGTTCCTCAGGACAAAACAATTAGAAGAACAAGGAGCCCAGAGAGAAACAGGGCATCAGGAAAAGCATCCTTTGATTTAAGTAAATCCCACATACAGATTAAAAACAGATAGTTGGCGTTTGGGATGAGAAACACTGATGAAAGAGGAAAGCAAGCAAAACTAACAGGTTGTGAACAGTTTCCTCCAGACAAAACCCATGCTCAGAAAGCAACATCCTTTTTTTTTTTTTTAAATAAAATCCTAGCTGTAGCGGATAGTACTCCAAAGCTAGCAAGTAGCTAGCAAGTTGGTTTAGCAACTATCCTACAAATTAATTATACATGATTGTCACTTAGGTTTGTATATTATCATTTGCATCTTTCTCTCTTCTTCACGTCCTGGCTAACTTAACTCTCCAGGTCTTCCGTAAGATATCTCACCATTGTATTTACCACAGGAATATCACTTCTCTCTTACCTGAATGAATGCTGAGGCTCTCTTTGATGGATCCCACAGAAATTCAACAGTGTTCAACTGGGTGGGGCTGGCCCTGGGATCCAAGATACCAACTGACAGTGGAATATCTGTAGAAGAAAACCCCTAAAATTTTAAAAATATTAAATTGAAGAAGAGAAAGCATTTCCATACAATTACAAGATGCATGTGAAAAGCCAAGCCACCAATGATAAATCTATTTGGGACCTATAGTGCTAGATCTCCTTCCCACCCAAAGACATACAGGACTCCTAAGAGAGTAGGATATAGAAAAACCTAAATACACATGAAACACACCATACATCATTCAGCACCTTGCTTCCAAAAGCTGCACAGGAACCGTAATGAAATAGTCTCACCTATATCAAGGATGCGGTCCCCAGGCCGACTCCACCTCCAGCCCTCGAGCTGCTGATGCTCTGTGTACTGCAGGCGTCGATCATGGAAAACTACACGAATTATGCTCTGTTAAGAAAAGATGGCAAGATGAACAACGTGATCCAAAGGCCCTTCTCTTGAGATGACTCTGGTTTTCCAGCATAGAAGCAAAAGCTGATCTGTTATGTTTCTCACCCCCGTCCATGAGGAGAGCAGAGGGTCCATCTAAGAGACCCATCACCACGTTTATAAAATTCCTAAGGGACCCCTGAGTGAGACAGCAAGACACTTTCCCCTTCACAGCGCATGTCTACACTGCGTAATGCAGCTCTGTACAGCTTTCTGGGATTTGGTCTGGAAGCACTATAGCAATGTCCACCTAATCTTAGGTGTCATACCATCTAAACATCACTATGCTGCCTCCACACCCAAAATGGCTCACATGGGGGTAATAATTAGTGTGTCTGTACCACGCCCCAACCCCAGTATGTCCCACTCTGACTAGCAAATGTGAAAGCCAGCTCACCTGTCCCTGCACCAGTGGAGCTGACATGCCCAGACACCTTGTCAGTGGGAATTAAACTTCATTCCAGCCATTAACAGCCAGTCATTGGCAGTGGATTTGCCCCCGTACACTGGTAAACTGCCCCACTATGCAGTTAAACAAGTGTGGAATAGGAAAGCTTCCGTAACAGGAGAATTTTCATCTCTAGCCTGCAATGGTGCAGCCATGTCAATAGCTGGAGAAAAAAGGCTGGAATAAGAGCAATCCCCAGGGCAGACAAGTCCAAAGTACCCCTAACTAATACATCCTTTTGTATATTAAAAGTGCTACACTAGCATGAGTCAATCACTCCTTACTTCCCAGTTTCTCAAGTCCATGCTCCTGCTGGGGACTTCTGTATCAAATTGGAGTGAGCATTTTTTGCCAATGAACCTGAGAAAAGCTCAAATCAAACCCTAACGCTAAGAAGCAAGCAAGCCACAGTGGGAATGCCTGCAAAATTGGAATCCCAATCCATGTGCTTCCTGAAATGGGCCAAAAAACAAACAGGGAACTGCCTAAACTTGGACAACATTTGAAATCCAGATTGGAATCCAAATTTTGCAACTAGTCCCCACTTCTCCAAAGAAATCCTGAGGCAGAACAGCCAAGAATTTGGGAGAGGAAGGCTTGAAGGTTGGACCCAGAACCAAGATCCGAACCCAAGTTCTTGAATTTGAACTGTTTTGGGAGGTGGGAAACAACAAAAAAATCCCCAGAACCAAACCACCAAGTTCTGTATGTTCATAATTATGCCCATTACCAAAGTAAACTGGAGCTATGCAGAATCTGCACGGCAGAACGATGTAAACACCGGGGTCCTCTATTTGACATGTAACAACCCAGGCGCGTTGCTCGGGTTAAGAAGGGAGACAAGTCTGCCTCTCAGCGGTTTTGACCATGTTCACCTCTGAACTTTGGGATTCCCCTGAACCCAATATTCACAGTGAAACTCTGGGGTCATGATCACAAACGGAATAAAAGTTCCCCTGAAGCCCTGTAAAGCCAAGCTGCATAGTCCCGTGAAACTAGCACTCAACAACTCCATCAGCCCTGCTCCCATTAAAAACAATGGCAAAGTATTTTCCATTGTCTCAGTGCGAGCAAGGTCAGGCCCTTCATTAGAGGCTGTATGTAGTAGCAGGAAGAAAAGAAATCTATATTTCTCCTTACCTTTACATATTTTGTGTTTAAATCTTGAAACTCTCCCAATTTCCTATTCTCAAGTAGACGGATTTCATAAGACTGACCTAGAGTTTAAGGAAACATTTCCAAGGTGTTTAATATGTTGTAGCAATGAGAGAGTCATGCTGGCATTTACGTGGCTAATAAAGCATACGTTTGATCAGGGAAAGCTCATTTTTGGTAACATAATGCATTTGCCCCCAGTAATCGAGTAGGCACTAAAGCACAGCAGAAATTAGAGGGGAAGGTTTGTCTTTTGCAAGCTAACGTCTCTCGGTTAGGGCATCGATCATATTCTGTCTCCCAGGGCTGCTACAGTTTTCTGGTCGCCCTTCTGAAAGTCCCCAAGGTATTCGAGGCAGCTGTCCTCCCGTGTCACAGGCTGTAACAGCACTGCCTTCGTCTGTCCCTTCTGCTGAAGCAACGGCTGTGTGAAGAGCTGCTGGCACAAGTCTAGGCACTATTCTGCAGAGGATAGCAACTTGGGCGAAATCTCGCCTTCTTCAGAGAGCAGTCAGGTCTGTAAGGTGTTTTGGTGAACCAGAAATACAAGATTTGTTCCATAAAGCCTTGAACGTGTCTGCCCAGGGCATAAATACTCCTTCAGACACATGTGTGGAAGCAGCAATGGGTATTACAGGATGTGCAAAGACCAATTCCGGGAAGGAAATTCATACTCCAGCACCCCACCACCACCCTCAGTGTAAGGAATTTAGCCAGTTCAGTAGAATTTAGCTAACTGGTTCATGAAACAACATCTCCCTCCAAGGCTGACAGTAGACAAAGGAGACTGATGTCCCAATACCTTAAGAACAAATGGCCAAGGATAGCACAAAAGCTCATTGTATAGGACCAACTCTGTACAATAAACCTACAGCCAGTACAGAGGCAGGACAGGATCATTAGGATTAATGGAGCGTATGTATACCTTATAGCTAGTTTTTCTTGTTCATCTTGCTATCCTCCCTTTTACTGAAAAATGCACAGGTACGACAAGGCAGGCACCAAGAAGGAGATCAGTTTGGGTTTTCTGGCCCAACCAGTATCTCCTCAGAACCGGCCCTGCAGAAAACTGCAAAGCAGATATCTCTCCCTCTAAGCAGTTACTACCAGCAGAGACAAAAAATGCTACATTTCTGGATCTGGATCTAGAAAAAGACGACTTATGACAGCAGATGTGTCAGGAGGACACCGCATTTCAGGCAGATTCCATTTTGGGAATCCCAGCTCTTCCAGTTGCCCCCGAGTACAGACCATATCACTAGAGCAGAGGGATAATTGTGCTTATTCAGCTGGCTGGCAGGAAAAAAAAAAAAAAAAAAAAAAGGACAAGAGAGGCCATATTGAAGCCCCAAATGTTTGCATAACACTCCTACTGATGTCAACAGGAGTTCTGCAAACCAGAAACGACCCTTGAATCCAGCAAGTGGCTTAGGGCATGGGGAGAGGGGAGAATAAACCATATGAAGTACCAAACTAAGCACTGAGAACATGCATAGATCTTAACCCATCTCTTTGCGCATACGTCAACCAAAATAACAACAGTGACCTTCCTTTGAAGATTGCTGGAGAACAAAAGTGGATTTTGTAAACCACAGTCCTGAAATTGAGGTCTTCCACACTTTAACTCAAGAGACTTTCTAATGTTCCCACTGATAAACGTTAACATTATTTACTTGGCAATTTTTAGAGGTTATATATCTCCCCACATTATCAATACTGTTACATTAGCATAAAAAAGATCAGGCTCAGGTTTGCAAAATCGGTTTTCTATGTTGTACTATGTATCTGTGTACATGTTGTACATGTGTAGCTATGTTGTATGAGGTACTTGGCTGCTTGATGGCTCAGTTCAGGGATAGATTTCATCAGCTATAGAGTGATACAGTTCATTGCCTCAAACAAATTTACACAGCCAAGCATCTCTTGCACTTACAGTTCATTCCCATGCAAATATGAGGCTAATTAATCATTAGAGAAAATTAATATAGTATTTGAGACTGTGAGTGTCCAAGAGACAGTAAAATACATCTATGACTGTACTCAGATGGGGTAACAGGGACAGAGAAATTAAGTGGCATGAGCTGTGCTGTAGAGGAAGGCAATGGTAGAACCAGAAGCACTGCCAGCCATTCAGCGAGTATCTCAGGAATGAGCAGGTTTTTGGGACACCTTTGTGCACTGATACACTCCTACTCTTTGCTCAGCTTGATCTGCTTATTTGTAGTTCCAGTGAGACAAATTAAAATAATGGGCATAAAAGCATTGGCCATGTTGCCTTCAAACTAGCATCAAGCACTCAAAAACTCTGCAGCATGCATCTTCCAACCACTTGCATGGGATAGGAGCAATACAGCATCCCGACAGACAGCAGGCACCGCACATCTCCTGACGGGAGTAATTCAGCTTGGATGGAGTTAGAAACAGATTCTGCCCACTGGTAAAAAAGAAACTGTAGTGGAGACAGAGTTAATATTAAATGGAAAGCCAAAGAGGAAATAAAATGCTTTGATGAAAGATATATGGGTCATCTGATGTAAGCCCTAGAACTCAGTTTACGCCATGAAAAACCTCAATCAAAATGGTATTTTATGCTAACTGCTTTCCCCTTGACCTCTGAATGTTTAACTCCAGTTACTACACAGAACTGTTATCAAAACAAGACCGCTCCCAGCCAAGCTTCATAAACACGCGGTTTATTTCCCTCTCTGTGGAGCTCTATCAGCAAGAATTTGGTCCTAATTCCTCACAATTCCTTTATATATAAATGTTTTGGTATTGATTTTGAAAAATTCATTCTCCCTACAACTTATTCCAGCAAATACATTGCTTTGTGGCTAATGGTACCCATAATTCATTGGTATAGCATGGACAGGGTTCAGATACTGGTACTTTTATAGCACCAAACTGCTCGGATTATATTTTTTCCTTGAAAAATACCTCCCAAACCTTGTTTACCCTATGTTTTCCACCATCACTACCAGCAGAACTCCTGAAATGGTGAATTACAATCTCAGCCCTGCAATTATAGCAATTGCAGGGAAAAAAACAAAACTAAAGAATCAGTACTCGGATGCTGGAAAACAGGATCCCTTTATAAAATTAAGCGAATAATAGCAACCTAACCCGAAGAAAGCTGAACTCCCCCTAGCGTCAAAGAGGGCAAAGAAGTCACTCAAGGCTCTGGTACACAGATCATCACTGACTCATCAGCACTAACAGGCATAGACTGCAATTTTCTGCTAAAACTGAATCAGTAACACATCATTCTTACTCAGGTAGCTAAATCCGTAAAGAAATGTGGCTGCAAGCGTGACTAAAACAAACTGTATTCTCAGTTCCCAAGACAGCTGCAAGTAGCTAAGCCCAAAACATACAGCTGAAAGAGAGAGAGTTCCCCTATACTGAGTTTTTCCATCTGTCTCAGATGGAAATACAGATAAATACAGGTTAGACTACATCTTTCCAAGTCAACGCCTGGTGGTAAAGCTCGAGACGGGGGCAGAGGGTACCGAGACTCTGCAATGATTTGATTGAATGGTCTGACCTTGACCAGGGCAGTATCTGGTCCCCAGCTGACAGGGGTTTAAGATCCACAGGGCTCAGATGGAAGGAAAAGCCTGAAGAAAACATCTGTGGCAATGGAGAGCAGCGGTGGCAGTTTCACAGCAGTCCCCCTTTACCAGGAGGATATTCAACATTGCTGAACATTAGTCTCAAACCCAGTGCTAAAGGCCAGCAATTTGCTGAAACCCTTTTCCTTCCATGCTCTCAACATTGGCCATAGCTGCACCACCACAGGCAACACAGGTTCAAGATAGCTTCAAAGTTGGTAACCAGGCTGCGCTCTGGTCATGTTGTAATATCGGACACATACATACAAGGGCACCTAAAGCATCTCTCTCACTACTTGAAATGAAGAACACATTTTGCAAGCAAATCCCCAGCATAGCTGAGGCCAAAGCAGCCTCCTGCCTGCCTGTGCGACCCAGTGCTCCCCTCGCACAGAGCTTGCCACAGCCCTCCTTCCCTACTTCAGGCAGGGAACAGAACGGTAATAAATATTTGGAAAACCACATTAAATTCCTGAGACGCAATCTCTCTCCCAGCTTCACTGAAAGCTTCAGGGGCACCAATAAAAACCTGGGTGGGTGATGATACACAGTAATTTGTATTTTGAGCAGACATTCCCTGAGCAACAGCAAATTTATGCAATCTCCTCCTAGGCTAGAGTTTGAGCAACTCTGCTTTACAAACAAGAGTAGTATCCAGCAAAGTAGTAACCACCCAGGTCCAGAGAGTTCCTGCTTGGTGATTCATAAAGCAATTGCATCTATCTTAAAGAGGATTTATAGACTCTTTACTTAAACTTTTATTGTCTTCGGTAATTAATGCACATTAAATGGAGGCATGACCACTTAGTTTGGGGACAAAAGAACTGAAAGTCAACCATTCACTACGGATGAAAAATAATTTAGTTGAACATGGGAACACTTTCACACGCTCAAAAGGTACAAGCTATAACCGTTTAACTGATTTCCGTTGCTGGAATTTAGTCAGCCATCAGGAATTCTAGGCAACTTCTGATTATAGAAGATTATCATTATTTCAAGCTCAAAGTTACATTTTGTTCAAAGATTATTTGCTACACAACCACAATATCCTGCTTGCTTTTTTTTTGTTTTGGTGTTACGTTTCAAGGGCCACTTGCACCACGCATTTTGTGGTTTTCTGCACAATACACCAATACGATATACTAATTTCCAATTAGGATGCTTATGTTCCAGACCAATATGACTCAGGCCTTACTTAATCTAGCCAAGCAGTCTGCATGTTTTTCCAACAATTAATTAAACCCTAACCTTATACTAAGCAATATCCCCAACAAAAGTTGGTGGAAAGAAAAAAAAAAACCAAAACAAACAACTGCGAGTCCTCTTTCTCAGAATGGATCCACACAGCACTAGACAGAACCAGCCTGGAAACTGTTTGATTATTAAGCCAAGCTGGCCAATAAAAATTCCATTTAGCAACTTTATATGGACATCCTAAATAGCGTACAGAT